TATATGGCAAAACTATTAATGTTTTCGTGTTCTCGTATATAACTGCTGCATTAAATAGTGGCTTTTAATTAGTTATCTTAGATTTTTCTTATACATTAATATCCATGAAAATTGCTAGCTCTGTCTCTCCCATTGCAATGTTTATACTTTTTAATTACATTGTCTCGTTTCGACATATCTGTACCTAGAATGAAAATATTCTTAGTTTTTTTTTTTTCCTTCTTGGGTTGCTATGTTTTATCATTGAGACTATTCTTAGGAGTTTGGATTTTGTGCCTTGAAGTAATTATTTTACCCTCACACTTAACGACCTTTTGGCTACTATACACAGATCTTCAGGGTCCTAATTCCTCCATCTCAGAACTCCCTAGCCTCTGTGGAAACACATGCCCTGGGTATCAGAGGAAAACCAGGGGCTCATCTGAGTCATCGACATTCTGCACCTCCTTAGCATCCTCTGTCCCCTTCCTTGTTTGGTTTAAAAGTTGATTTCATCCGTGGAGTTCAAAGGCTTCATATGCGTGTCATTAAGTAGTGGCTAGATTTGGTTTAGGATTACCAGGTAAAATAGTTCAATGAACCTAGTTCGATGTAACTTCAGGCAGATGGACAAATAAAAATTATGTCCCTCGTAGCTATATTCCCATTTCCTCCGTCTGATTCATTTGGCAGGGTAATGACTGCTGCCATATCTGGTGATTAGTGGGCCCTTCTGAACTAAATGCCTTGTCTGCTCAAAGAAATATTCTCTACTAATTTCTCTACCATGGCTCTATTTCTCATGTTGCTGCTGTTTTAGTCTTAGATATTCCTAAGATAGAATGAAGGAAAAAGCATGTTTTTTTCTCCAATCTCTTTTTATTCTTGTTTTGTGGAAAGGAGGGTATTGTATATATTGAATTGATTCTCTGTTCTCATGATGTTTCTACTCAATGTGTACATTCTTTTCTTTTAGGACTTCCAGTTTTAGAGCTATCCTCTGTCACATTAATTTTATTCTTAACAATTTTCACAAAAAAATTACAATTTAGTTTTCATGGTTTCCATTTGTAAGTTTTAAAAACTGATCCCAGGTTTCAGTGAGTTAGACTCTGTGATTTTTTTTTGTTTGTATGTTTTTGACAGTGTGATTTCTAAGAACCTGACTTCAATACCCAGAATCCACCTTTAAAAAATGCCAGGCATGGTAGTGTGTTTTTGTAGTCCCAACATTGAAGGATAGGGACTGGTAGATTCCTAGTGTGTATTGGTTACATAGCTGGACTGGGACCACCCAGACATGTTGTGGTTTAATGCCAATAGCTGTCTACTACCTTTACTTAATTTTTTTTTAACTCTGTTTTTACCTAAAGGCAACTTACAAAATTCTTCAACATAGTGTCTTGTTGATAGATACATAATTTACCTTTGAGGGAACAGTACAGCTCTTTAATTCTGTGGTGGTACCTGTAGTAACAATCTACTTCTGTAATAACATCTGTACCTCAGGGCCCTTCCTGTGTGCACACCTGTACCTCAGAACCCTTGTCTGTGTCGACACCTGTACCTCAGGGCCCTTCCTATGTGCACACCTGTACCTCAGAGCCCTTTTCTGTGTCGACACCTGTATATTAGGCCTCTTTTTATATGGACACCTGTACCTCAGGCACTTTTTCTGTGTGAACACCTGTGTCTTAGGCCCCTTCCTGTGTTAACACCTGTACTTCCATCCCCTTAACTGTGTAAAAATCCGTACTTCAGGCTCCTTGCCTATATGAACATCTGTACATTAAATCCCTTGTCTGTGAACACCTGTACCTCAATCTCTATGCCTGAGTGAATACCTGGTGAATGTCTGTATCTCAGGTCTCTTGCCTATGTGATCACTTGCACATTAAATCCCTTGTCCTCATGAACCCCTGCACCTCGGGGCCCTTGTCTGTGTGAACACCTGTACTTCAGGGCCATTGTCTGTGTGAACACCTGCACCTCAGGCCTCTTCCTGCATGAACACCTGTACCTCAGGGCCCTTCCTGTGTGAACACCAATACCTCAGGTGCCTTCCTGTGTTCACACATGTACCTCAGACCCCTTCCTGTGTGAACACCAATACCTCAGGTGCCTTCCTGTGTTCACACATGTACCTCAGACCCCTTCCTGTGTGAACACAATACCTCCGGCTCCTTCCTGTGTGCACACCTGTACCTCAGACCCCTTCCTGTGTGAGCATCTGTACCTCAGCGCCCCTTTTCTTCAATGTACTCTGAAGTTGCTCACGTGTAAATGAATAAGTTGTTCTTCCCAGAACTATTTCCTGTATTTCTGGTACAAATTCTACTAAATATCCTCACATCTTTATAGCACTTCTGGCAGATTTAACTATTTATTATTCAAAATTGACCATTGACCAACATGAAATATTCTTATTTCAAATGTGCTGTTTACCTTCACACTAAATTTCAAACACTTGCATTTCTCTAGTAACTCTCCAGCAGCGGCAAACCGGCTTCCTTTTGGTGCATTTCTCTCCTGTCAGAAAGTAACAGGAGACTGATGCCAGTAAGTGCTTTACAGCCTGGAGTGAGCAGGAATGTATAAAGGTGGCGCTTCTCACAAGAGGACAAGATGTACTGTCTTCTCCATGATCTGGAAATCCACTTAAGCATCAAGTCTTGTTCACAGATGACATAAAAAGTATTTCACTTATAAATAAAGAAATTTTTCTTGATTTTCCTAGGTGTGGTTCTGCTTTTAAAAGACAAAAATCCTTTTAACCATCCATTAATTTTTGGAGGCTTACCATACTGACCAAATGTCACCAATTTTTCTGAACAACAACTAAAACGTCAATAAAGGGAATGTCCATGAGATGTTGAAATTTAGATGAGCTGTGTACTGGGGGCAGAGATTCGTCTGTAGCGTGTGTTCAGTGGAACCTGGCTGTAGCACTGGAAATGTAAGACAAACTGAATAAACAGCTAGGAGTTTTACTAAGTAAATTATAATATGTCCATTAAAAATTGATCATTTCAGGTTATAAGAATCATATACACAGATAAATTCAAGATGATGTGTTGGAGGGTTCTGGTTCTTACCCAGGTCCTCTTAGAGCATCTCTCAAGAGGCCATGATCATTTCCCTCTGACTCACTTGTAGTTGGAGGGTGTATACTCAGTTTATTTTCCCATCATCCAATGTGAAATACTTCACATACTCATGAAAAGTGGGCAAGAGAAGGACAGAGTTAAAAACTTGCTTGTCAGTAGGATAAGAGTATTTTAATCATCTTCCAAATCACTTCCAAAAGTTTTGGAAATAATTCATTCATGGGTTTTTAAACAAAAACCTTAGCATGTGATGCCGAATATCCCCTTACAGGTTGTTAGTTAGGGAAGTCCTAGGTGCCCTCCAAAAGGCATAGGCTCTTGACCTTCCTTTTGGTTGCCCACCAGAACAAGATAAGACTATTGTTAAAGACACCATATAAGTTGGTAGTAAGTTACAGAAAAACCAATCTAGACCTAAGCTGAAATTTTCTTCCTGCTGGAGAGATTTCATAGTGCCAGAAGATGCTGTGGAGGATGCTGTAGAGAAAACATCAACAGCCTGACCCAGATGGCAACCCTAGACTATACTGCAAGCTGCCACACAAGATGTGCCTGCTGTGGCAATAGTGGCACTGCTGTTGTGGGTGTAAACAACTGCTCCACATGAGGGAATTCATGACTGGTTCTGTAAACCCAGTCAAAAGCTCGTGTCTGGAGACAGGTGTAGTAATGAATGCCTTTAATCCCAGCAACTAGGAGGCAGAGTCAGGAGAATCTCTGTGAGTTCAAGACCAAAACGGTCTACATGAAAAAACCTTGACTCAAAACCAAATAATTCTTATAACCTGAAATGATCAATTTTTAATGGACATATTATAATTTACTTAGTAAAACTCCTAGCTGTTTATTTAGTTTGTCTTACACTTCTAGTGCTACAGCCAGGTTTCACTGAACACACGCTACAGATGAATCTCTGCCCCCAGTACACAGCTCATCTAAATTTCAACATCTCATGGACATTCCCTTGATTGAAGTTTTAGTTGTTGTTCAGAAAAATTGGTGACATTTGGTCAGTATGGTAAGTATATCAACCTTTCAAGAAGATTGTATTTATTAATGTCAACATGGGTGCTGTGTGCATGGGAGAGAATGTAAATTTGTTGTTCTTTTGGCATTTTCAGCAAAAACAAATAAGCCAAAAACAAAACAAAAACAAACAATGTCTGTGGAAAGGTCATAAGCTCTAGGGGAATCTTATACTATTGACTAGCTAAATTGTATGGTACCACATTGCCTTATATGTATACTCATAGGCAAGTCTTCCTCTCAGCATTACTCAGAGAAGACTCTTTATATTTAAAAAAAAAAAAAAAGCCTTGGATGCAGACTCGTGGTTGATCCAGGTGCTGAGAATGAGCAGTGCTTGAGTACCCAACCCTGGACAGGATATTTATACCACCCTAAGGCTCAGAGAACATTGTAGAAGAGAGACCAGAAAGAATGTAGGAGTCAGAAGGCGGGGAGAAAGACTGCACGATACCATCTTCTGGTCGTGAAATAACCGATGAATTCATGGCTGCTTGCACTGGGTCTGCACAGGAATGGATATTTAACAGCCAGTCATGGGCAGGAGAGGGGTTCATGGTGCCATATGCTGTCCTGGTGAACTATTAGCTACAGATGGCTCCTGGTGGCTGAGGGAGTAATTTTCTTCAGTTATTAGCCCACTAACGAGCCCATCAGGCTCTAAGCAGTAGTTTCAAACCCACAGTCACTCAGACATCTCTGGTCGAACTCAGTGGGAGACAAAAGACAAGAACATGAATTTGGCGAGGGGACCTGAAGGGATGAGTGCCGTCAGGATGTATCAAATGTATGCATGTGGAGCTGAGTGCCGTCAGGATGTATCAAGTGTAAGCATGAAACTGACAAGGAAAAAATAATAACTAACAAAAGAGCCACGACGGAACATTATTTGGGAGAGCTTAAACTCAGTTTTCATTTATTTTTTAAATGAAGGCAAAGGAGCACTAAAATGTTTGTGGGGATGGGCTGACTCGACACATCACTCATGAAGTCTGCAGTGCTAACTTCTTGTCAACCTTTCAAGAAGATTGTATCTATTGATGTCAACATGGATGCTGTGTGCATGGCAGGGAATGTAAATTTGTTGTTCTTTTGGCATTTTCAGCAAGGTTGGCTGTTGTTGCTTAGGAAACGAATTCGCAGCCCAACTCTCTTCCTCGTCTCTCCATATAAGGCCTTCATGGTATGACACTTTCTTCTCTCTTCTCATTTGCTCCACTTCTCTGTCACTACCAGTTTCCCCTCCTAGGTTCAGAATTTATGAGATGGGGTTAAAGTGTTCAGAAGTGAGGGAGGAGGGGAATCAATCTAGTGAGAAGAACTGTTCAGTACCACGGAGAGCAGATCATCTGTTTATCCAAATCCTTGTCCACTGAGCTCCAAATTTTAGTTGCTGCGTCCTTAAAAACATTAGGGCATCCAGTTATTGGCTCAGGCTGTGGTATCAGGCATTTCTAGACACACAACATATTGGGTGTGATTTTTGGACCATATCTGGAAAATTACCCAGCACATCCCTGTCCCTGAATTTACTGTGGACCAATTCTTTCATCAAAAATAAATTAATGTAAAGTTAAATTTAGAAAGCCTCACAAAAGCCTCACATGGTGGTGAGGGCATGGTGGTGCATGCTCATTATTTCCTACTTAGAAGACTGAAATACAGACTTTGAAGCTAGCCTGTAATACACGGAGAAACTATCTCAACAATAAAACCTGACAAAACCTAAACTCATTTTTATCACATGAAGACAGATATGACTTACTTTGAAAATCTGTCACAAAATATTGACATTTGATTGTCTTTCTTGCCACTTGGGAAGCCATGGACAGTGTGTCTCTTGCACATTCCTCTGCTGAATCCTAACGCCTGGTGCTACAGTGTTGGAAGTGGGACCCTCTGGGTCTTCACAGATGGAATTCATCTCTCTCTCTCTCTCTCTCTCTCTCTCTCTCTCTCTCTCTCTCTCT